CCCGGCCAACTCCATAGGGTTTTTATAAAGATTAAACAAGTTAGTACATGTTAAGCAATTAACAAATCTTAGTTATTCCTATGAAACAGAATTTCCTTCCCTCTTACCAATAAAGTGACAAAATGCATTTGGTGGAGATTCTCTCATTCCACTGAATAAACCTTCACCTCTCGCCCCTTCTGTGTTATCTTTGTGATGCGTCAGCAACACTACCATTTGAGAACTGTATGAATCCATTACAGAAATTAGGCAATAAAAGTAAGTCTACTATATACAAAAAAATTAAAGGAAAAACTCTTTTGTGAGGGCAACAATCACAGGTGGTAATTAATCAGATTTATGAAAACTAATGTTTCTTAAAGAGCTATTTTCTAACCAATTCCCCATCCCTGAGACCATCCATTTTACTAAGGGTCCCACTGTCTAAAGACTATCAAATTCACTATTAAATACGAGCTATTTAGAGATTAATGAATTCCTGTAATTTCTCATTTGCTTTTATTTTATTTTATTGAGACAGAGTCTTGCTCTGTCACTCTGGGCTGGAGTGCAGTGGCAAGATCATAGCTCACTGCAGCCTCAAACTTCTGGGCTCAAGATCCTCCTGCTTCAGCCTCCTGAGTAGCTAGGACTACAGGTGCATGCCACCATGCCCAGCTAATTTTTTAAAAAATTTATTTTGTACAGACAGAATCTTGCTATGTTGCCCAGGATGGCCTTGAACTGGCTTTAAGTGATCCCCTGTCTTGGCCTCCCAAAGTGCTGGGATTACAGGGTGAGTTACCACACCTGGTTCTCATTGCTTTTTAAAAAAGAGGACAAGATGTTAAAATTCAGGACAGTTATATTGTATCACTCTAAAAAATACCCAACAGCAATAAGATAATCATGACACTTACTTCATCTCTATAAAGTGGGCTAGTATAATACATTATGTCCATTGCACTGCTGTTCAACATATCCCTTAAACCTCGTACTTTGTCAGGAGTAATGGAATCAACAGTGTCTACAAAACAAAAAAAGCAAAACAACAACAACAAAATTAAAATCATAATAAAAGATCTGTTTTAGGGAAAAAATAACTGAAAAAAATTACATTGTCTGAAATAATAGCTCTTTAAGTTAACATTTAAATATTCAAGACCAGGTTTGGCTCTTATGGTCCTTCCCTTCTTGCAAAATATTGCAAGAAAAAAACAGTACAAAAGGGGATATGAAAAGAAAAGGAACACTAAAGGAAGAAGGCCTTTATTAAATCGATAAAGCCTCATCCTTTTTTATATGTACTGGCTTTTGCATGACATTCAGCGGTACCCAGAGCAAAACTAGGCCATAGTTCCATACTGGAACAAGTTATCAAGGGACACAATCCAACTCTTTCTGTACCTCCTTTTCTGTTTCCTTTCAATTCTTTTTTGTTTTTTAAATCCATGAAGCTTGGGCTTGGCAATACCCATGTGAAATGCCTGGAGCCACTGGTGGCAAACCAGCAACAATAACAAAAAAGTTCCCCACACTTGACATGTATGTATCTTTAGTGCACAAAAGGTTCTGTGGGTAGGAACTGTCAACCACAAATATGAACAAAGGCAAATTAGCAATGGGCCCCATCACTAAACAAGATAAAGTTGCTGTAATTTATTGCACTGAAAGAAAACGTATGTAAATTGTTACAAAGCAGTACAGCCTTTGATGAGTTGCACCTAACGTATGGAATTTCTACCTTGGAAAGATTATTCTATTAGATACCAAATAAAATTACTAGAGATGCAAAAAATTTTGTATTTCTTATAGAAGTACAAAGAAGTACTATACTTGGATGAATATTATTATTTGAAAGAACAAGGTGGGCCAGAGAAAGCTTATGATTTTAGTTAAGTACAATTTCTATTACCTTCTAGTGTTTTACTGCTTTGGCTCTAGGTTATTTTATTTTTATTTATTCCCTACTTTAATACAATGTAGTAATAACTGAAAGGCAATGACAAGCAAAGGCTAAAAGTCTTTTCAAAGATGTAAAGGGAAATATTGTAGCTTTTCATGGATGTACAATATATTTACACCCTGTGCCTATTTTTAAGTTGTAAATGTGAAAGGTGTGACATATGTGTTGATTTAATGCATTTAGAAAAAAAGTTTTTACTATGAAATACATGCACATACAGAAGAGGGTATATAATATATATAGGCAGTTGAAAAATAATTTATAAAAAGAAAAACATGTTCCTACCAGTTAGCTTAAGAATACTGCCAGTATCTTATATCCCTAAGTAATCAGAGACCTCTCCCTCTTTGCTAGAAGTAACCAGCAATAAGTGTTTTATTAATCGTGATTTCCTTTTCTTTATTGATTTTACTATGTGTTCAATACTAATAATTGTAGCCAATTACTTCTACAGCATTTACTATGTGCCAGAGCCAAAATATTTTATTTCATTTTGCCTGGTTCTGAACACTGTGTAAATTGAGGTATTGTCTATGGTTTGCACCCCTCTCCAAATATGCTTCTGAGATGTGTCCATGTTGATGCACATAGCTGTAATTCACTCATTTTCACTCTTGTATAGTATTTCACTCTATACATATATTATAATTTATCCATTCTACTTTGAGAGACATTGGGTTGTTTCTAGTTTTTTGCTATTATAAACTATGATTCTGACATTGTTTTACATACCTCCTTGCTGCACATGTGTAAGAATTTCTTTAGAGTATATATGTAGGAGTGCAATTGCTGTCATAGGGCACATGCACCTTCAGCTTTACAAGATTATGTCAAATCATCTTCCAAAGTGATTGTACCAATTTACGTCCCCACCAATAGTGAATAAAAATCCTCACTGCTATATACCCTCAACAACACTTGGTATTGTCACTTTCTTAGTTATCTGCCTGAAGGGTGTGAATGATATTTCACTGTGGTTTTAATTTTCATCTCCTTGATTACTAGGGTGGTGTATATTTCACTCGTCTATATATACCTATATTTTTTCCCTTTTCTTTCCCATTTAAATTTCCTGCTCTTTATCCTGGAAATTAAAGCTTTGGTGGTTACACCTGACGCTCTGTTGTAACATCTTTTCCCAATGTGTGGCTTATCTTTTATTCTTTATGGTTTATGGTCTATTGATAAATAGAAGTTCTTAATTTTAATCTACTCAAATTTATTCATGTTACTTTAGAATTATGTTTTTGTGTATTAAAAATTCCTTC